TTAGTAAAATAATTTAATGAAACATTCAGAAAAAGACACAGTAGGAGAAGAGTAAAGTGAAAAACTGGATACAGTGATTATAGATAATTCTCGAATGCTTCCAATGTAAAGAACAGAAAAATGTAGGACTATCTGGAAGATATTTGATGCAAATATTTGTTTTGTTTTAAGTTGTAAGATATTATAACATTTTTGCTGATGGGAATTGGTCATGTAAGAAGAGAAAATAATGAGGATACAGAGGAGAAGTATCAATTGCTAGAACAGATAACAGTTGAAGAATCCAGTCCACAAGTAGAGAGGTTAGCATTACTCAGATACCAAGGACTGTTCATCCGTAGAAAAGAAAAATTCAGATTTTAAGGAAATAGACACAGTTGTTGTTGATGGTGGAGGAGCTATTTTTTTATTTGTGATTAAAAAGAATAGCAAAAATCCCTATAGTACTCATTCTAATTTTAGTACTTGTATTTTTAAAAATGTGTTGTTTAATTTTGGTACAGATTAACTCTAGATAAAGATTTAACTTCTAACACTGTCTTAATATACTTGTATACTTAATATAAGCTAGAAGACACTTGCTTCTAGCAATATGGTTAAGTATATTTTTGAAAGACAGTCAACAAAGAGCAAGTAAGTAATGCATGAAATACACCATTTGGTGCATTCCTAGGCTTTCTAAAAATAGACAGTGTCTCTACACTTCTAAAAATGGAAGAAGGAAAAGTCATTATCTAGAGGAGAAGCTGGCAAATTATGGCCCTCAGGCCAAATCTGCATTTCCATTTGTTTTTGTAAATAAATTTTCTTTTAACAAAGTGACACACTCATTCATTTATGTGTTGTTGTCTATGGCTGCCTTCAAGCTACAATGACAGAGTTGAATAGTTGCAATGATGACCATATAGCCTGCAAGTTGGAAATATTTACTATCTGGACTTTTACAGAAAAAACAAAAACAAAAACAAAACAATAATGGCAGGAAAGAAAGATCTAAAGAGTTTCTGTATGTTCAGCATCCATTTTCCCCTCTTATTAACCTCATACTTCCATAGTACATTTGTTACATACTAATGAATCAAAGTTGATAATTATTATTTACTAAAGTCCATTTTTTATTAGAATTTTAAAAATTTTAGTCGAATTCCTTTTCTTGTCCCAAGATCACATCTAGGGTACCGTATTATACTTAGGAGTCATGTGTCTTTAGAGTCTTCTTGACTAGGACAAGATTCTCAGATTTTCTCTGTTCTTGATGACCTTGATAAAACTGAAGAGTACTGGTCAGGTATTTTTTGTATTGTCCTTCCTTCAATTTGGTTTTATATGATGTTTTTTCTACGGTTATACAATGGTTATAGGTTTTGGGGGGAAAGATCAGCAAGGTTAAGAGCCATTTTCATCATATACCAAGGGTATTTTCTATGAAAATGTCTTATCATTGAGGATTGATCAACTAGCTGAGCTAGTATTTGCCAGGTTTCTCCACTGTAAAGTTACACTTCCCTCCCCATTCTAGCCTTCATCCTTTCCATACTCTTTTGAAGGAAGTCACTATTGAATCCTACACTTAAGAGATGGAATGGGGAGTTATACATAGGTGGAATTCTTCTGTATGGGATATTTATATATGTTCCCACACTTAATTACTTATTCAATTAATTTATATCAGCAAGGATTTGTGGATATTTATTTTTATACAGTGGGTTATAATCTAGTACTATTTTATTTATTTTGTTGCCCAGCCTGAATTCTCAGGTGTTCCTTTAGTCATATAAAGGAACTGTATGGCATAGTTCAATTTATGTGTAGTTACAACTGTCATAAATAAATGCTTACTAAGCACTTTCTGGTCTTTACATGGTATCAATCAGTCAGTCAACAAGCATTAGTGTTTCTAAATATCTAGCCCTTGTTTTGAAGGCATTGTTCTAGAGATTTAATTATTAGGAAACCTTAAACACTAACCTTCCTGGAAGCACAGAACCAAAGCTACAGTGGCTACCCCTGTGACCCCACCACGTGATGTTGTCCAAGCTCTCAATTGTCTCCAGCTCACACAGATGTTAAGCCCAGCTCAGGGAAGATGACAAAGAATCTCAGAGGGTTTGAAGTTCTTGTCTGAATTTTAAATTAAATCTTAGTCTCTTTCTTTCTCCAAGAAAGTTACAAAGATTTCTGGACAAGCTGTGGGGAAATACGACTGATCTAAATTTCAGTCAGGCCAATTTGCAATACACCGATTCACTAAACAACTAAAGTCAGAAAGATACATTAGTTTATTCTTGTTTAGTTATATGTAGGCAACACCAACTATCAGTTTTACAAACTACAAAATTAAAAAGCTGTTATTATAAACTATAATGTTAAATGAAAAAAATCATGACAAAATGGGTATTTAAAAAATAAACAATTGTTCCCTTCAGAGATTGAAATTCTACTTCTCATCTCACTGCAACGAAATCGTAATAATTTTCAAGACTCTCCAATTTTTGCATAATGTGTAACTGTGTTACACATTTTTTAAAAATAGCTTTGATTCTGAAAAATCATAATTACCGAAGAGAGTGCTGAGAAATCCCTAGATTTTTCTCCAAGGTGTAAGAATACAAATCATATCAATTTATCCCTAGATTTGACCTTTTAGTTTAATAATTAAAGATATAATATTCTACTAAAGTAATTAGAGATATAATATTCTGCTAAAGGCACATAGTGAATTTTTCATGATCTTGTGTGTCTTCTGATTTAGAGAAAGGAAGCACTGAGTGTTATAATAAACATAGTACAGAAAAGAAAAGAAAATCACCAATAAAACACAGAAAAATAGGAGACATAAGCAAAACAACATCGCTTAAATAGAAAATAATAATTATCTTTTTCCAGCCAGAATCATGAAATTTTCTAATATTCATTACTTTCATTAACACCTAATCAAATTTTATTCTTATAATCTTCAATTATAAAAATAAAATATATACCATAGTATGGTATGCTTGCAAAGAAAGGTTTGTTCTGATTGTTAACAAATAAACTCAGCAAATTTCTTTCTCTGACTCTTTCCTCTTATGCTACTTTATTTAATTTTTCTTCTCCATTTGCCCCTGAAATGTTGGAGCTCCTAAGATAAGATCCACGTTTGCCACACTTCCTAGATATTAAATACCATCTTCATACTAACACTCAAATCCAGGCTTATGTCTCCATAGACAACTGCCTACATGATATTGCCACCTATCTCAAATTCAACTAGTTCAAAATTAAATCCATTTTCTTCCCCCACAAAATTGTAGGGGTTTTTTGTGTACTTTTCCATAACCTGATTAATGGCAGCACCAGGTGTCCAAAGTATAAATATGGAAGTTGTCCCTCAACCACAATATCTAATTTTATACTCATTCAGATTTCTTCATATCCATTTCTTCCATTCCATTTTTTGCTGCCACTGACAGGTAAGCTTCTCAGCATGTCCCACCTTGTGTTATTGCAAGACTAGCAGGTCCTTTTCTTTTGCATTCCATCACATCCAAACTTCCCCTGGCAGAAGGAGTATTTTAAGTTAGCAGTTCACGTGCCTCCTTAGTTCAAGGAGCTCTAAACTTTCCCAGTGAAATAACCCCAAAAGACAGAAAATGTGTATCTTGAGAATTGGGTAGGGTCTAAGAGAATAGCACTAAGCAGCCCTTTCCAAGCATGACAACTATTTTAAGTCCATTATATTATCTTAAAAATACATGTGGACTTGAGATCCTCTGAGAACTAAACAATTAAAATATAATCCATATGTTAACTCTCTTTTTGGGAGTTTCTGTGGGTGCCAGTGACAGGTTTGTTATTCTTATTATCTTCAAAATTCCTGATCTGTCACTGAAAGTTCAGTTTGAAGAGCAAGATTTTCTCTATTCTGTTTCTGCTTCACATATCAATAGACCGATGTCCCAATGCTCCACATATTCCACATGGCTTTGGATTTATAAACTGATCACATCTCCTCAGACCATTCCTCCTCCCAGTAGAATGTCACCTCATTGTATTTTGATATTTTGCTAAACAAGGCTGTATTTGGCAGTAAATGCTTTGAAACTTAATCTTTTTAAAACAGCTTTAATGAGGTTAACTGATAAACAAAGAACTGTACATATTTGTACAATTTGATGAGTTTGGATATTTGCCAATTGGTCTCGAAAAATGTTTGCCATTTGGTCAAGGAAAAGCCAATTGTTCTAGGCTTGTTTCCTCATCTCAAAGTGAGATAATAATAGAAGTTTTCTTTTGAGTGTCTCATTTGAATTTCAAGAGAATTAGAATTTTAATTTTTTAAAATTTTTTATTGTTATGTTAATCACCATACATTGCATCGTTAATTTTTGATGTACTGTTCCATGATTCATTGTTTGCGTCTAACATCCAGTGTTCCATGCAGTACGTGCCCTCTTTAATACCCATCACCAGGCTAACCCATCCTCCCACCCCCCTCCCCTCTAGAACCCTCAGTTTGTTTTTCAGAGTCCATCGTCTCTCATGGTTCGTCTCCCCCTCTGATTTCCCCCTCTTCATTCTTCCCCTCCTGCTATCTTCTTCTTCTTCTTCTTTTTTTTTTTTAACATATATTGTGTTATTTGTTTCAGAGGTACAGATCTGTGATTCAAGTCTTGCACAATTCACAGAGCTCACCATAGCACAATTATATACATGTATTTAACATACATGGTGCAGCACCAAGGCACACAGAGTTTAAAAATGACAGCTAGTAGCATGTGGTATTAGTGCTGATAGTGAGGCTGGGGTGGCTTCTGGCCATTCTTAATATGCTGCATATACTAAGTAATCACCGAGTAGTAGCAATTTAGTTAGTAGTAGTAGTAGTATTAACAATACCATTTTAATGCCTCTACAGAACTGGTAACTCGGGAAAAGGATTGCTCAAATGTGAAACAGCTCTGAAGAAAACAAACCGGGTCCACAAGCAAGAACAGACTTCAATAGGTGTTTGCCTATAACTATTTCAACTTGTGACTTCCTATAGCAATTGAGGCAAATTGCATGACTATCTCACCCTTTCTCATGAACGGAGAAAATTTTGGTTCATGATTTCATCTGGTAGTGTTGTATAATTGGTAGATGGATTGTTCTTCATCTCCTGGAAAGAAGTATGTTGTACAATCTTATAAACAATTGTTCCCTTCAGAGATTGAAATTCTACTTCTCATCTCACTGCAACATTGATCAACTAGCTGAGCTAGTATTTGCCAGGTTTCTCCACTGTAAAGTTACACTTCCCTCCCCATTCTAGCCTTCATCCTTTCCATACTCTTT